AGACCCTGCTCTGCAAGGAGGTTTGGGGAGCTTCCTGTATTTCTTTCTGCTGACACCATCTTGGCTCTGCCTCTCAAGTCCAATCTCTCCTCTTGAGAGATGACTCTCTTAAGACAGCTATCAAATACTCCCATTCCCCAAAGTCATCTCCATTCCAGGGCAACAATCTCCACATTCTTTGAGTCACTTCTCATGTGGCATGATTTCCAGACCTCTCAACATCCTAGCTGCTACACAGTGGACACTCCAGTTTGTTAATGCCCTTCTTAAAATGGTGCCCAGAAAGGAACACAATTCTCCTGACATGGTCTGATCAAGGCAAAGTACAGTGGGACTTTTTTTAAAAATTTAACCACTCAAATAATGCAGTTTAATAGCAACAATAATAAATACTTCTCAGGACAAGAAAAAATATGCTTCTTGTGAATGATTTTCTAGCAGGTATTGTGACAACTGATAAGTCCTCAGCCTTTAGGTCTCTAAACCACAGAAACACTACTAGAACGAAAGGCTAGCTTTTATTTATCTTATTTTGTTATCGTTCAATCATTTTTCAGTCATGTCCAACTCTTTGTGACCTCATTTGGGGTTTTCTTGGCAAAGATGCTGGAGTGGTTTGCCATTTCCTTCTCCAGCTTGTTTTACAGATGAGGAAACAGTGGCAAATAGTGTAAAGTGACTGGCCCAAGGTCACACAGTAAGTCTCTAAGGTTGGAGTTGAACTCAGGAAGAGGAATCTTCCCAACTGCAGGCCCAGTGCTCTATCTGTGATGGTGCCACTTAGCTTCCCTTGTCTTATTCTGTGGCTTTCCTCAAGTTTACCTCTCTTGTTCTGAACACTGCTATTGAAGCCCTGGATGGTGTTAGCTTTGTTGGACATCCCCAACAAAGAATGTAAGCTCCATGAGGGCAGAGGCTGTTTCATTTTTTTCTTGGCGTTCCCTAGTACACAGTTCTGGCACATAGTAGGTGCTTAATAATTATTTGTTAATTGATTAAAATAACATCGTTCATTGGTAATGAGCATGCAATTCACTAAAATTTTCAGCTCACTTTCATATGAACTTATCTAACCACCCTTCTCCTTTCTGTACGTCTGAATTTTTTAAACCCAAATGAAATTAAAATGATTTTTTAAAACCCAAATGAAAGCCTTTACATTTATCCCTACTCAGTGTTATCCCACGATATTTGGCCCATTATTCTAGCCTGTAGAGATACTAATAGGTCTTAGTTTGTGTAATCCAATGCATTGGCTCTTTCTCCTAGCTTTCCATCATCTACGCATTTGGTGAGCCTGCTGTCTGTGATTTTATCCAAGTCATCAACACAAATGTTGAGCAGCATATTTCTCGTGGATGAGGGGACTTCCTCCCATGATGCAAATTACAATTCACCCATTGAGTGACCTTGTATATGTTACGCCCTAAGTCTCTGCAGGGGGACCCTCTTTGAGACATCTTGACACGGTGAAGAATGTATGAACTAGGGGCACTAGGTGGCGCAGTGGATAGAGCACCAACCCCGGGGTCAGGAAGATCTGAGTTCAAATCCAACCCCAATTGCCTAAACAACAACAAAAAAGGATGTATGATGTGATAGAAGGAACTGTGGACTTGACATTAGAAAACCAGGGTACCATTTATGGAGTTGTGTGACCATTGGCAGGGTATTAATTCCTAGAAAGCTCAGTTTCTGCCAATTTAAAATGGGAATTTCTCTTTTCCTGCCTACTGAAGAGCACAGGGTCAGTAAGAACAGTTCATATTTATATCACAGTTTCTGTGCACAAAGGGCTTTGCACCTATGGCATGTGATTTTTACAAAAACCCTGGGAAAATCATAAGGTAGAAGGATTTAGAATTAGAAATCCAACCCCTTCACTTTGCAGGTGAGGAAACTGAGGCCCAAAGAAGTTTAAGTGAGATCCCCAAGTTCATGCAAGGGGTAGGTGATGGAGTCAGGATTTGAACCCAGATCGTACCACTCTGAAGTTGGTACTGTCTCTCAGAATGAAGAGACTGACGTAAAACCATGAGAAGAAAACCAGATAAGGTCCCTTTCACAGGGGTAGAATTCTTAACCAGACAAAGGGTATCAGTGCTCCCAAAAGGTACATAATTTTGATCACATGAAATTAAAAAGGTTTTGTAGGAAGGAACAAGGATTTATTAAGTGCCAGCTATGCAGCGGGCCCTGTGCTAAGCACTTTACAAAGAACAGCTCATTTGATCCTTACAACACCCTTGGAGGTAGTGTTTTACTTTTTACATCCCCATTTTACAGATGAGGAAACTGAGGCAGATACAGGTAAAGTGACTTGCCCAGGATCATACAGCTAGTAAGTGTCTGAGGATGAGTTTGAATTCAGGGCTTCCTGACTTCAGGCCTGGCAGTTTATTCACTGTACTGCCTAAATTAAAATAACTAGGATAAGAAATAAAGGGTTGATTGAAAAAAAAATCTTTGTTGATGTACATATCTTTTTTTTAATAATGTTTTATTTTTTGCCAGTTACATGTAAGGATAATTTTTAATATTTATTAAATTTTTTTTTAATTTAAAATTTTCTCTTTCCTTCCCTCACCATTTGATATGTTATACATGTTCAATCGTGATGCACCTATCTTGATATCATCAATAGTTCATTGTATCATAAACCATCATATTTAATGATGTCTCTGGCAAAGAACTGATATCTAAGACATATAGAAAAATCACAAAAATTTATAAAACCAAAAGATATTCTCCAATGGATAAGTGCTCTTAAAAGCGAAATTACAAAATATTAACAATTATGTAAAAGATTGTTCCTAATAACTAATAATAATAGAAATTCAAGTCGAAACAACTCTCAAATTTCCCCTAACATGAAGGTTGAGAAAGATGACAAAAGCTGAAAGGAGTCAATGCTGGAGGGGCTGTGGAAAGACAGGCCCATTAATGCTCTGCTCTTGGAGCCGTGAACTGATCCCACCATTCTGCAAAGGGATTTGGAACAATGTTAAGAAAGCCACTAAAACGTCTCCACCCTTTCACTCAGAAATCCCCCTGCTAGGCATATACACTTAGGAGGCTGATGGTAAAGAGAAAGTGCCCATACCTACCAAAATATGTATAGCAGCATTTTTTATAGTAGCAAAGAATTAGAAATAAAGTAGATGCTCATTGACTGGGGAATGGCTAGATGAATCGTGGTACAGGAATGTAATGCGATGTTATTGTGATATAAGACAAAATAAATATGAATACAGAAGCACGTGGAAAGACATGAATGCATGACAAATTATGTTAGCGTAATCAGGGTAACACAATGATTACAACAAAGTCACTGGACAGAACAAAACTGAAATGGAATCCAGTGCAGTTATAATGACCAAACTTGGCCCTAGAGCAGAGAAAATGCATCTCCTTCTCTTTAAAGAGATGGTAGAATATGAATATGGAATATAGATGTGTATGTGTGTATACATGTATTTATATGTACACATACACGCATATGCATATGCAGCTAGGTGGTACAGTGGATGGAGTGCCAGGCCTGGAGCCAAGAAGGCTCATCATCTGGCCTCAGGCATTTATTAGCTGTGTGACCCTGGGCAAGTCACTTAACCCTGTTTACCTCAGTTTCTTCATCTGCAAAATGAGCTGGAGAAAGAAATGGCAAACCTTTCCAGATCTCTGCCAAGAAAACCCCAAACAGGGTCATGGAGACTTGGACAAGACTGAAAAAGGACTGGACAACAACATACACACATAGGCTTGAACTAGGGTGGTGGCTGTGTGGGTGGAGAGAAAGGGACAGAAACAAGAGATTTTGTGAGGGTAGAAGAAAAATGACTGGACTAGGCGATTGATTAGACACATGGGGTCAGAGACAATGAGAAGTTAAAGACGGCTCTAAGAGATGCTTGCCATAGATACAAGGTGATCTGGGAGTCAGGACATGGTTTGGGGTATGTGTGTGTGTGTGTGTGTGTGTGTAATTTTCCCAAAGTCATCTGTACAGCTGCTGCTATGGGGGCTCAGTTAGTAAGTAGAGGGGCCCATGGGAGTTTCAGCAGAGGGAGGTGGTATCACTAATGGTAGGTCTGGTGGTGCTGGAATCAAGGCACCCTGAGGGAGAGCCTGGAGGCATTATGTGCCGGGCAGGTCAAGCCCCCACTGCCACTTTGACCGCCACCTCCCCTCAGACCCCGGTAATAGTCGTGTCCCCCAAGTCACCAGACTCGCTTCCAGGCCAGCCCCTGCAGTCATCACTGAAGAGAGAAACCATTGTGGAGGGGGGCACCATCAGCGACACCTGCTGACCCAAGGCCACCCACAGGCAGACGGGCATAAGAGCCCTGGGAGTGGCAGCACACCCCATACCCCAGACCACCCGTCCTGCTTCCGGTCCATCCTCTGGGGAATGGACGCCTGCAGAGATTCTTCTCTACCCACATCCTCACCAGCTACCAGCCAGCCGCCGCTCCCAGGGTCTGCAAGCCAGACTAGCTGAAGGAGCAGGCGCCACATTGGAGAGACAGTTGGGCAGACGTGCCAAACCGCCACCACCATCACCACCGCCGCCGCCTCGACCCTGCTGGAGACGGCCCTGGTCCCCGAACCCAGGAGCCCCCAGAACAGCAGCGTCCCCACCCAGCGTCCTCAGCGTCGTCCCGTGGAGATGCAGCCTGGGAACCGCTCCTGCCGGTGACACGGACACAGCTGCTGAAGACCCAGGAGAGCAAGTTCTCACCCCCACAGTCCTTGGCACTGTCAAACGGTTCAACGTCAGAAACGTGGGAATGACACTGAGGAAAAAGCATCTGCTTTGCTGCTGTTCCCCGAGGACCAGGAGACTTTTCCATCTGAACTGCAGCTGAAATCTCCCATATGCCTCGTCTCCTTCACGAGGATGTGAGTCCCAAGAGCGCAGACTGTCTTACCCTTCTGTATATATCCCCAGGACTTAGCAAAGTGGTTTGCACACGGTAAACACTTAATAAATGCTATTGTTCATTCATCAAGCCCTGTTAAGGGGCGGGTGGTTGCAACCCATCTTCCCATCCTCTGATAGGTTAGTCAATCCCCCCTTGGGATTAGGCCAAGGTCCCTCTTACAGGTCAAGCCATGGCTTCCCAGGAGGTCCTGATTCCCACCACTCTTGTAGAAGATGGCCCTGGGTGGGGAATAGGAAATTGGGAAATGTAAGTATGAAAAAATATATCAGCTTTTTAAGATTTTAAATGAAGTTGGGCTAGATAATTTCAAAGACTATTCCCTTCTGATATTCTCTTTTCTAAGGTTCCTCCCAGCTTTGACATTCTGTGTTTCAATTAGTCAATCAATCGATTCGTATTCTGGGGCCTCTTCTGGTTGTGAGATTCCAGGTTCCACTGACTGAAGAGAGCTCCTTAGGTCTACTGCCAGACAGGGGGCCTTTGCCAGGGACAGAAGGGTAAGGGGTAGGCTGAAGCCAGCCACCATCCGTCCAGCAGATGGCTAGACAGTCTTTTTCCAAATGCATCCACAATATATCACTCTTTTTAAGCAACAGCATCACATAGTGGAAAAAATATATAGGATTTGGGGTGAGAAGGCCTGAGTTTGGCAGCTTACTCCTATGTCCTTATGGAAGTCGCTTTACCTTACGGGACTTCCTGCAGCCTCATCTTATAAAATGACAGGGTTATAAAATGACAATCTCAATCAATCAATCCATTAACATTTATTGACCCTGAGCAAGTCATTTAACCCTGTTTGCCTCAGTTTCCTCACCTATAAAGTGAGCTGGGGAAGGAAATGGCAAACCACTCCAATATCTTTTCCAAGAAAACCCCAAAAGGAGTCACGAAGAGTCAGATATGACAAACTCCTACGCTGTGCCAAGCATGTGCTAAGTGCTGGGGATACAAAAAGAAGCAAAAGACGGTCTCTGCCCTCAAAGAGCTTACAGTCTAATAGAGGAGAAGGCATGCAAACAAATATGTACAGGATAAATAGGAAATGATTAAGAGAGGGCAGGCACTGGCATTAACAGGGGTTGAGGAAGGCTTCCAGTAAAAGATGGGATTTTCTTTTTTTTAATTTTCAGGCAATCGGGGTTAAGTAACTTGCCCAGGGTCACACAGCTAGTACGTGTCTAGTGTTTGGTCTGAGGCCGGATTTGAACTCAGGTCCTCCTGACTTCAAGGCCAGTGCTCTATCCACTGTACCACCTAGCTGCCCCTAAAAGATAGGATTTTCACATTGTTATGCTATATTTTCTGGTCCCTGCCAGCTCTGACATTGTTCTGAGGTTCTGAGGGTGCAGGCATCTGTGGGAATCACTGCTTGGCTCTTGGCTACCCATGAATGGATAAAGCCATAGATGAGCTATCAGATCTGCAGATAGCACAAAGTGGGAAAGATGCCTAACACGCTGGCTCTGATAGAGTCAAGATCCAAAAATCTGATGGGCTAGGCTGGGGAATGAGCTTAAATGCAAAGTTCTACACTTGGGTTTTAAAAATCAGCTTAATTATACTTCTGAAAGTATAGGCTGGGGAGGGCATCATTAGACCACTGACCTTCTGCAAAAAGATCTGAGGGTTTTAGTGAAGAGCGAGCTCAGCAACATGATACAGGAGCCAAAACATCGCATGTCACCTTAGGCTACGCTGAGATGCCCGCGTGTCCAGGAGTGGGCATGATGGTCTGACTGCTGTCCTTGGCCTTGGCCAGACCACACCTGGAAGACTGTGGTCAGTTCTAGAAGCCAACTTTTAACAATGCTGATAAGCTGGTGGGTGTCCTAGGAACATGTGGAACTCACACATGGGCGATTTAGGTTTGGACATAATGAAAACCTCCCCAACACCAGACCTGTCTCTGAGCTGCCTCAGGAAGTGTGGGATTTCCCCTCAATGGAGCCCTTCCAGCAAAGACCAGAGTGCCATCTGATGGGCTTGAGATAACTGGGGTTCTTGCTAAGGTGGGGGTTGAACTACCTGGTCTCTGAGGGCCTTCCAATTCAGAGATAATGGGATTCCAAATCTGAGGCTCCATGTTCCAGCTCTGACATTCCATGTTCTAAAGACTCTCCTTCTGGTTCTGATGTTCCATGTTCTAAGGCCCCTCCCAACATTGACATTCTGGGTTCTAAGATCCTACATTGTCTGACATTCAATGTTCTAAGGCTCCTCTTGGCTCTATCATTCTGTATTCTAAGTTCCCTCCCAGCTCAGACATTCAGTGTTCTAAGATCCTTCCCTAGTCTGACACGCTATGTCTTTAGGATCTCCCCAACCCTGCCATTCCTGGGTATGGCTGGCAACCCACTTCCCAGGGTACCTTTGCTCTCTTGATGCCCCTTTCCCTCTCTGCCTCCGCCAGGCCAATGAACCCACCCTCCTGGTTCCAGGAACAGCTCTGGTTTTTTGCGCTTCCCTCTGGCATGACAGGCCCTCAATGGGGCTGTCAGGGCCTCGGCAGCCAGAGACCCCCTTCACAATGAGCCTCTGTTTACATCAGAGGCACCGGGAGGAGGGCTGAGCAGCTGTGATTAAATAGAATCATTCCAGTGACAGGCCCATTGTGGGCCATGGGAGAACCTTTCAGGGCTGTCTCGGTGACAAAGAGGGGCAGGAGCAGCCGAACAAATCCCCAGGCAAGAGAAACGACATGGTGATCATTGGATTGGCGCTAACAACTCAGTCCCAGCTTCCCCCTGCCCAGGCTCTGAGGGCCGCTTCCCTCCCCATCCATCAATCACTCAACAATTCTGTGTAGCATGCCTGCCATGGGGCTGGGCAGACTGGGGGGAGGGAGCAGCCCTCCTGCATGATCTCGTCTTCTCCTGTCCCCAAGTCTGGTTGGGGAGACAGGAAAAGGGGCAAAAACAAGGACTTTGGAAAGGAGTGGGCTCCACATTCAGTGCTGTAGGAGATCAGGAGAGTGAGACCATCGTGAAAGGCTGGGGGTAGCCCAGGAGGCTTCCTGGAGGAGGTGAAGGAGGCTGAGACTTGGAGGGAGCCTCAGGGTTCATCAGGTCATCCAGTTACAATCCACTGCATGAACGGGGCCCATCTCCAGTCTTCCCAATCTTTATTTTGCCACTGGACCCAGATGACTCTAGAGGAGAAAGTGGGGCTGGTAACTTTGCACAGCCCTGCCTCACTTAAATCCAATTCACTTTCATGTTGTGGCATCACCTTCCTGATGCCATGGTCCTCTTCGAGAATGAAGGACAAACAATAAACAACTGTCTGACCAGGAGTCTTCTTTATAGCATGCTGGCCTAGGAGAGGACAGTACATCAAGGTATGAATCCCATTCCTGTTACAATATTCCCCAGTTAGTCCATGCTGGGTGACTGAGGGAAAGGCCCTTCCTCTCTCTGGCCCACTGTTCCTCGTCAGGGGAAAATGAAGAGATTCAACTAGACGATGTCTTGTTGACTCTAAAAGGCTGTGATTGTAAGGGAAAGAACAGTAAAATTTCACCCACCTTCCTGGTACTCCAGCCTCCCTGCCTGGAGGCAATTCCTAGCTTGGCAGTAAGTTGGTAGCCTGTATTTAAGGCATTACTGAGAGAAATAAAAAGCAATCTCTTCCACCAGGCTAACTCCCAAATATCTTTGTTTCCCGGCAGGGCTCTGGTGCGGGGGGGGGGGGGGGGGGGAATTGTGTTTCAGGGATGACTGGGGCCACCACTGTGATAGATTTTGCTGCCAGCCTAGAAGCCTTTGAAAGATGGGGCTGGCCCAGCAGGTGTGATTTAAGGGGAGCTGGGGAAGGGTTTTGGTCCCTAAAAATAAACCAGAAATAAAAACAAAAGTTTACAAAGCATTACTCTCCCTGCATCCTTGGGAGCAAGGCAGTGTGGGGATTGTCATTTCCATTTTGTAGATGAGGAAACAGAGGCACAGAGAAAGGGAGGTGACTGACTCAAGGTCATGTTTCCAATAGTGCTTTTAAGGTTGATCAGGTCTACATCCCGAGGCCTGAAATTCCACAGTTAGGGCTTCATTCCTTTGGCTTAAGACTCAGCTCCTCATAAAGGCAAGAACTCACTAGGGAAAGGTCCCTCCTTTAGCTATTCTCTGCCATTAGGGCCTTCCATCATTTATAAACAGAGAAGTTAAAGTACCTGTTCATGGAGAGCTTAGGTTAGGTGAGGTTATATGCTAGACTGGGAGTCCAGGTATGCTTGTCTCAGATGCCTCAGGCTTGGGATCTCAGAGCCAGGAGACAGAATGTCTTATTTGAGGGACAGCAAGGAAGCCAGTGTCACTGGGTAGAGGTGGGGCTATGGGGGTGCAAAGTATGAGAAGATTGGAAAGGTAGAGAAGAGCCAAGTTCTGAAGGACCTTGAACACCAAACAGGATTTCATGTTTGATCCTGGGGGCCATCCGGAGCCACTGGGAGTTTATTGAGTCGGGGGGTGGGGTGACATCGTCAGACCCGCGGTCCAGGACAATCACTTTGGTGAATTGAGAATGGGTTAGAGACGGGAAAGACTTAGCAGCAGGCTATCGCAATATTTGAGGAGGGAGATGCAGACCTGCCACAAGGTGGAGGCAGCATCAAAGGAGAGAAGGGCGTGTATTGCAAAGGTGAGATCGACAGGCCTTAGCAACACCCCGGGAAGATGTGAGGATGACCCCTAGATTGGTAGCCTGGGAGACTGGAAGGACGGTGGTGCCCTCAGCAGTCACAGGGAAGTTTGGAGGTGGGGAGATTTTAGGGGGAAAGATGATGAGTTCAGTTCTGGCCATGTCGAATTTAAGACGTCTATAAAATATCCAGTTAAAGTCTAATAAGCAGTTGGAGAGGTGAATCTGGAGGTCCACAGAGCAGTTAGGGCTAGATAAATAGCCCTATATAAGCCCTGGATGAATAGGTAGCTAGGTGGCTTAGTGGATCAAGCACTGGGCCTGGAGTTGAATCTAACCTCAGTCCTTTACGAGCTGTGTGATCCTGGGCAAGTCACTTAGCCTCTGTTGCCTCATTTTTCTCAACTGTAAAATAGGGATAATAGTAGTACCTACCTCTCAGGGTTATTATGAAGATCAAATGAGATACTGCTTGTAAAGAACTTAGCACAGTGCCTGGCTCATAGTAGGTGCTCAAGGAATACTTATTCCCTTCTCCTGCCTCTCTCTCCTTCCCATATGAGTACTTTTAGAGATAAGAATTGAGATTAAGGGAGCTGATGATATCGCCAAGTGAAGTAGTATAGAGGGAGAAGAGAAGAGGGCCCAGGACAGAGCCCTGAGGGCCACCTATGGTTAGAGGGTGTGATCTGGATGAAAATCCAGCAAAGGAGACTGAGAAGGAGCAGTCAGAGAGGTAGGAGAAGAACCGGGAAAGAGGGGAAGTGTCCTGAAAACTCAGAGAGAAGAGTGTCAAGGTGCTCAACGATGTCACAGGCTGCACAGAGGTCAGGAAGGATGAGGATGGAGAAAAGGCCGTTGGATTAGACTCTTTGGAGAGAGCCGTTCGGTTGAATGATGAGGTTGGAAGGTAGACCATAGACACAGTGGTGGGCGATGGCACGCTGTGCACTGGGAATGAGCATAGCTGGGACCTTTCAGTGTGGGAAAGCCAGGATTCAAACTCTGCTTTTCCCCACCCCAATTCCAGCCTTTTCCCCACTACAGAGTGCTGTGATGAAGGCCAAGCTGTCTCAATATGAAGGAACTGTATTGAGTCACCAAGTAGGGGTGGGGGGGACCGAGAGGGTGAGTGGTTGCCTGCTGGGGCCAGACCTGTTTTGCCCGGCAGAGTTGGAATGGAGGGAGTCCACCTCCCCTCCCCCTAAAACCACAGAGCAAATCAAGTTTCTGAATCCAACGAATATAGTATAAGCAATGTTCAGCCATAGCTGCCTCTTCTTGACCCCATTTGGAGTTTTCTTGGCAAAGATACTGGAGTGGTTTGCCACTTCCTTCTCCAGATCATTTTACAGATGAAGAAACTGAGGCAAACAGGGTTAAGTGATTTGCCCAGGCCCACAGCTAGTGAGTGAGTGTCTGGGGCCGGACTTAAAAGTCAGGGAGATGAGTTTTCCTGACTCCAGGCCCGGTGCTGTGTGCACTATGGCACCACCTAGCGACCAAGTATAGGCAATCCCTGCCTATCATTCCAAGATTATTCCACATAACTTCCCCCACTATACTGCTCCAGTTGCCAGTACACAACCCACCCTTTCCCGCCTTATGCGTGGAATCAGACCGCATCTGGGGGTCTCTAATCCATACAGAGCACCTTCCTCACCAGAGCCCTGTGAGGGAGATAGGATGCCAATTACCATCTTCTTTTTAAAGATGAGAAAACTCTGGCCCAAGATGGAAAGTGACTTGGTCAGGGTAACAGAGTGCAGAAGTCAGAATTCACACCCAGGCCTCGTGACTCCAAATTCAAGGATAGCTGAAGTCCAAAGCGAAATAAATAAATAAATGAAAATCTCTTCCCAGAATTGGTTTTTCTGGCTCTCTCCACAGGCAGCTGTTCCCGTCACTGTGCTGATTTCTCTAACAAATCTCATTTCCACCGAGTTGCCAGGCCTCCACTGTGAGAAGTTCATTCTTGTAACTGCTTTGTTTCTGGGTCAGACCACTTTGTTTCTGAGGACTTTGATGGGCTTCAGCTTGGAGGAGGAGAGGAGGCTGCTGGGAGCTGATTATCTCTCAGGGAGTCAGAGCATGAAATGGGGGGGGTGCTTCCCCCCTCAGCTGATAGTTCCCCCCCATCCCCTTCTTCCTGAGGGGTTGCTTTCAGAATGTGCTCAAGCTGCTGCTTACTGGAGAATGGAAGGCCACCAAGGAGGCCTCTCCGAAAGGTGTCAGCTGATTCCTTATTCCCGGAGGGAAAAGGACTTAACTCTGTTGCCATAGTTCTGATTAGTAATGATGTTGGAAAGGGCTTAGCCCAGCTGGCCAAGAAGAAAAAGAATGTCAGAGCTGTGGGAGACACAGTGCTAGAGTTGGAAGGGCCCTTAAAACGTGGAATGTCAGGGCTGGGAGGGACCTCAGAACATGGAATGTCAGAGGTGGGAGGGGCCCTAGAGCACACACTAGCAGAGCTGAGTGGGCCCTCAGGACACTGAACTTTAGAGCTGAGGGGACCCTTAGAACCCAGAATATCAGAAACGGGAGGGCCCTTAGAACAAAGGATGTCAGAGCTGGGAGGGGCCCTAGAACACAGAATATCAGAGCTAAGAGGGCCTTTAGGAGCCAGAGTGTTGGAGCTAGGAAGGCCCTTAGAACCCAGAATGTGAGAGCTGAGGGAACCCTTAGGACACAGAATGTCAGAGCTGAGAGGGCCTTTAGAACACAGACTATCAGAGCTGAGGGGGCCTTTAGAACCTAAAATGTCAGAGGTGAGAGGACCCTTAGAGCACAGAGTGTCAGATCTGGGAGGGGCATTGGGATACAGAATACAAGATCTAG